CGCATGCTTGGATCGCTTATGTATTTATTCCACCCAGACCTGGTGCCTTGTTTCTGGGGCTGTTCTGTAAAACTGCTCTTACTTCCTCTTCTATGAAATTTGGTTCCTCTTGTTCGCAGCTTTGAGGTACAAAGTTAACATTATCTATGTTGCCTGTGGAGTTGAGAAGTTCTTGAAAATACACTGCCAATCTTGCCAACCTCTGTTGTGGACTAAATAGAGGTATGCCTCTCTTGTTGTTGATGATAGTTGTTGGGTTGTAACCTATGTCTCTTTCTCTCGTGATGTTTACATGTTTATAGAATTATCTAGGGAAGTTTTTGATGAGGGTAGCCATCTGTTCACCATAATTTCTTTAAGACTCGTCTTTAGACGCTTTAATTTTTCGTTTTGCTTCACTTCTTGCTAATCTGTAATGGATGGGTTTTGAGTTAAGCCTTTTTTTAAGCCTCTCTCTTTTCGGATATGTCTTTAACTTCGATGCTCTACCAACAAAGTTCTTAAACGTTTTACACCACCTACCTACCGTTCTGACTCCGCATTTGGTTTGAAGTGTGTTGAGCATAGCCGTCCTAAAACAAGTCCACTCTGAATCGATGTCTGAATATTCGCCTGCAGGGTTATTTAGTAGCTCTGTCATTTCTTGTTCAATCTCATCTTTCATTATATTATCCTGAAGTCTCCGGAAGTTGATAACATCTGTAGTTACTGTCTTATGTCTCGGTTTTCTCTACTCAGTGTTCTTTTTTATTATATCTGTTCTATCATCCATGTCAATGTTTGTGTTTGGTAGGACTCTTGAGTCTATTAACTGTCTTCGTTTTGTCTTCCTGAATAGAACGAAGTCAATTTGCGAAGCCTGATCTAAATTGTCCCATTTATACCAGGTTTTGGTATGAATGCGTCGATGTTGAAAAAAATGTTTTATTACTGTGAGTCCTTGTGAACACAATGTGTAGATTTTTTTCTGTTGCTGTTACAATCCGTATCTGAATCACTGAATGGCCCCATACATTCTTCCCATGCGATCGTCTTGTACCTATTCTTCTGTTGAAATCACACTTAGATCATCACTTTAAAATGTCGGAAAGTTTCTCAAAGTATTCGTTTCTGTCTTCTTTGCTTTAACTGTCCTTGCAGGGAGCATAGGTATGCACAATCGTTGTTCTAGAACCTTCTTTGATCTGAACTAGTGATTCTTTGTGATATATATATATATATATATATATATATATATATATATTCAGTGTAGATAATGTTTTTTTGCTGCATCAGGGTGAATTATAAAACCGACTCCATGTTTAGTTCTCGCTCGTTTTTCGATACTGCTCCAACATAATTCTCGTTTTTAGTTTCGTATTGTGTCTGTGAGTGTCCATGAAAAACTGTCAATTGATTTCATCATATTATAGTACAATGACCCCATTAATTTGCAAATGCCTTCTGCATATATATATGTGTGTGTGGGTGTGGGTGGGTGGGTGTGTGTGCGTGTAGCGTGGGTGGTGGGCCTGTGTGCGTGTGTCGGTAGTACTGTCACGCCCTACTGGAGAGTGGAGACACATGACCAAACAATCACACTCCCATCCAGCCGTACCCGCATGTCACCTTGTGAGCGTCAGGGGCCCTATTGTAACTGTTTTATACGGTTAAACGGGGTTAGCTCCAGTTGGATTATCATCCGAATAGTTTCTCTTTTGCTCGGACTAACCCTAGAGGGGGAGGAAAATTAAAACAAAAATCCGCTCCCATCCACATGATGATGATGATGATTCTAGCCCCAGCAGACCCCGGGCTGCGATTGGCTGGAACATCGTACGAGACTTGGATGATGGCCGATTCCGGCGATCTCATTGGCTCAAGCCCTTAAAGCGCATGCGCAGAAGTGTCTTCCGTGGTATTACTAATTCGCCATTTAAAATCTTTAATAAGATTAACTTCATTGACAAAGGCGGACACAATTGTTGGCTTCAACTTTGTCGCTGAAAACACGAAGAAGAAAGCGTGTTAAACACCAGTTCAGGTACGTTAAACAACTTGTAAATATGCAGATGAAAATACAGCGATAGTTGTAGTGTCTGATTTTATGATGTATACGACTATACGATCGAAGTCAGGTGCTTGGAATGGAACGGCCCAGTTGCCACGGTTACAGAATACTACCGGCGCCCGATTCATCTGAGTTCTTTAAGACAAGATTATTAGTACCGGAGTTCCCTCGGCGATACTTAAGTAACAGTCATGCAAAATATTATAGCCAGACTACTAAATGATACGATTGTTCGCTAAAAAATGTGACCAGATTTGTGGACAGACAGATGCGCGATCCGGTACGGACTGCCCACTTTTTTTTTACTGTACCCAGCATGAGATGAGCAATGTCCTGGTTTTTGCAATGTACTTACTAATTAATTTAGGTACTTGAAACAAATACGACGGTAGCTGTATCATAACTTCTTACAGGGCAGAAGAGTCACTAATCATATGATGCTTATCGTTAACTTCAGAGGCAAGACTCAACAGAAATTGCAACACCACCACACAGCAAATATATGTGCTGCCTATACAGATACTACAGTTTAGTTAGGATATGTGTTTTGCCTTTTGTGATTGTGTGACCACTTGTGCATGACGACCTGTCATCTTCTACAGCTCCACCCAACCTACGGAAAAGAATGAAAACACATATGACAAATCCGACATCACTCAACCAAAACATGCAGGTGTGGAGGGAATATGAATAATATCACAAACCAGAACCAGAAGCTACCTCACCCATAGAGACATTTAACTTCTTGCTCAGCTGGATTAAGAGACAAGATTCATTCCATGTTTTTATTGAATCAAAGTGAAATAATGTTAAATATAATTTACTGTCACATATATAATTTATAATTGCATAGCCAAACATAATTGGTAGACATCTTCATCTTCTTCTTCACTTCCTCTTTTACCACTGTGGGTGTCGAGGGAGATATAAGGTTCTGTTTCTAGCTCTTCTGGCCGCCTCGACCATAGGCACATCGTGCTGTTGTAGAGTTTCTCTGATGTTATCCTTCCATATTGTTCTTGGTCTACCTCTTGCTCTACGTCCTTCTTCTCTTTACATGTATGCTTTGTATGGTATGTTGTCACAAGGCATTCTCTCTAAGTGGGCAAACCATTTCACTTGTTGTCTTTGTATGCAATCCAGAATTGGTTCTGTGCTGACTTGTTCTCTTATGATCTCATTCCTGATCTTATCTCTTATGGTCACTCCTACAGCCCTTCTCAGACATCTCATTTCCGTGGTTACTAATTTTCTTTTATGGTTTGTTGTGAGTGACCATGTCTGGCACTGGTAGCACAGAGTTGGAATAAATATGCTTTGAATAAGATGTCTCTTTGTGCTGATTAGGATTGTCTTATGCTGTAAGAGGGGTGCTAGCTGTCCCAATACTTGGTTTGCTTTACTGCATCTAATGTTAATTTCTTTATCCTATTTCCCATCTTCGGTAAATGTAGTTCCCAGATATTTAAACTCAGATGCCTGTTTAATGCCTTTGTATTCTGTTGCTATGTTTAGATCTGTCTTCTTTTTTCCTATTGACATTACTTCTGTCTTTTCAGTGTTGATTCTCATATTATTTGTTTTACATTCTTCATTCATGGATGTTAGATGTTGTTGCAATTTCATGGCTGTATCTGCTATCAAGGCCTGGTCATCAGCAAAGAGTAATTCGTTGATCTTACTAATATTTTCATTCATGGGCTTGGCATTCTTGCATATACTGTCGATGTAGGTAATAAACAGCACACCCCTGTCTTACTCCAGATGTTACTGTGAATGGATGAGATGTTCCCTGATTTATCCTAACTACACTTCTACAATCCCTGTATAAAGTTTTGCACAATTCGATGAGGTGTTCGCTTACTCCATATCTTGCCATTACTTTCCATAATAATTGTCTGTGGACTCTGTCAAATGCCTTCTCCTGGTCTACGAATGCCACAAATAAGTTCTTATTGTATTCAATGTTCTTTTCTATTAACTGTTTAAGTGGGAAGATTTCATCTGTGCAGCTTCTATTTCTCCTAAATCCCATCTGTTCTTCTGCCAGCTGTGGTTCTATCACTGGTCTCAGTCTTGTTTCTATTATCTTGGCATACATTTTGCCAACATGGCTTAAAAGAGAGATGCCTCGGTATTGGCCGCATTCTCGTTTGCTTTGTTCTTCCACAATGGTATAACTATTGCATGTTGCCAATCAATAGGGGCAGTTTGTTGTACCCATGCTGCATTAAATATTCTGTGAAGCCATCTGATTGGTAGACATAAATATCCACTATTAAATTAGAAAGAAAAAAATAAAATAAAAACTCTAGATATTTAAATTATAACCTGGATGGGTTGAGCAGGGTATTGTTGTTTACATTATTACTACTACTGTTTCACATACAGTTTACTTGCGTCTGAAACGATATTAACCTGACGATGGTAATCACCACCATACAGTTTAGTCCAGAGGTTTCGTCCCAGTCTTTCTGGAATGTTAACTCATGTTATCTGTGCACAAGAAATGTGATGTTTGACTAAAACTAAGTTCCTTGGTTTCAAGTTAATCATCATTATCATTATCTGCCATGATGTCATGTTTTGCGGCCTGAATTATAATGAGAATTACAGTTCAGGTCACTTATCTGGTTTCACCTATCCCTATGGCCAAAGACATCCATGTAATGATCTGTTTGCTTTCTCCTTGCTCTTTTTCCATCAATGATGATTATTTTATTGTGTTGTGATGTCCAGGATGTTTTGTATTTTTTTTAAATTCGGTGCTTCATTAAATATTGGTGTACTTTCTTGTGTATGTACCTAATAATGAAAAATTACAAGCAGTAAATTGTGTGATATTTTTGTGCTCTCATCTAAAATAACAGTGTTGCTGTGATTGTAGAAATTATAAAGGATTATTGTTTTTTCTAGTTTCATCATTCTCCGTCAGAGCAGAAGAATTACAATGCCAGGTCCGTCAAGCATCAAACTCCAGGGCTGGCCCCAGGACGTGGGCATCATTGCCTTGGAGATTTACTTTCCATCACAGTATGTCGACCAGACACAGCTGGAAGCATTTGATGGGGTGTCTGCGGGAAAGTACACAATCGGACTCGGCCAGAACAAAATGGGCTTCTGTTCTGACAGAGAGGACATCAACTCCCTGTGTCTGACCGTTGTTCAGAGGCTCATGGAAAAGAATGATCTCAGCTACCGAGATATCGGGCGCTTGGAAGTCGGCACTGAGACAATCATAGACAAATCCAAAAGCACCAAAAGTGTGCTGATGCAGCTGTTTGAGGAGAGTGGTAACACAGATATAGAAGGAGTGGACACCACAAATGCTTGCTATGGAGGGACTGCAGCTCTCTTTAATGCAATCAACTGGGTGGAGTCCACTTCTTGGGACGGTAAGTTAAATCACTGAAATATACCTTTCCTTTTATCTCATTTTGTATTTTTTTTTTCATTACTAAGACATTTTACTTCATGGTTCGATGTGAAAGGCAATGGTAGTCTAGTCCTTGGGATGGTTACTTAATCGGTAAAGACAGTAAAACCTGGTTAAGATGATCTTGCTTAAGAAGAACGCTTGGTTAACGGGAACAAAGTTCATCCGAACAGGTGTATATCATTGTTATAAGTCCCCACTTAGTTCGTATGTTTTTAATACTCATTCAGTTTTCGCTGCCTTATAATTCATGTTAACAGTGTTTTACTGTATTATTTTTCATTCTGTAACATGTTGGTCTTCTTTCCTCAAGACAGCTGTGTTATTCTTCTTTGTTTACCAGCTGTAAGCTCTAGAGAAAGTCCTGGTTGTTCATCCATTTGGACATTGGCTTTGCGCCAGCATCTAAGTTTTACAAGTATTTCCGTTTATCTTGTTTATTTGTGTGCAGTTGATCATTCCTTGCCGCTCAGGCATATGTACTCCAATTTCAAAGAAAGCCTCCAATTAGACTTTCAATGACTTGTTTGTTGGGTAGGCAGTGGGTCTGTTCTTGTTTTCCCCCACCTTGGGGCCCTAGAACCCACACAGGGCAGCTCTGTTTAATGCAGTCAACTTGAGTAGGGTTAATGCCATCAGCTTACTAGAGTTAATTACAGTTAGTATAGTAGAAGCTTTTGATGGAATATCTGCAGGGAAGTACACAGTCAGACTCAGCCAGAACAAGATGAGCTTCTGTTCTGACAGAGAGGACATCAGCTCTCTGTGTCTGACCGTTGTCCAGATGCTTATGGAGCTAGGATTGATTAGTCACAGCTGTTCTATAACTCTTTGTTTGCCAGGCTGCTGACACTTGACCATGTGAAGGCCTCACATGTCAAACCCCATCAGTAGTATCTACTTCTGGACAACCTTGGCTGCACAATAGACATTTTAAATTGTTATGTTTAGTGTTTAAGGACATTGAAATATGAAGGTGCTTCAATAAACAAGATAAGGTGTGTGACCTGACCTCTCTATAAATAAATTATATAATTTATTGTCACATTCCGGCCGAACTGATGTTTTTAACGTAAATTTTCTCAACTACAGCAGTGTTGGGAGCTGCCATGATGAAGCTGTTAGACACCCACCTGCGGATCTAAATGTCGTTTGTTCGAGTCTGAACGTTACCAGACTTGACATAAATGACCAAGGCTTCCAGATCGACCCAGCTTTGAATGGTTACTAGATGAAGTCCTGGGAAGTAAAGGCTGCTGGTGTGATGCTGGCCACATTGCCCACTAATTGCCAGTTTGTCTATAAAATATAGTTCTAGCACTTATGCCTGATATGACTAAAGGTGTGGGAAAGGGTCGTTTGGCAAAAGTGTTGATAATCCTGTTAGAAACCATGGTAACAGGACGGACCCAGGGCAACAGGATCAGACATTAAGGTTTGCTTTGTGGATACAAGATTTCTGCCAGTTAAGGTTTCTGTTGAACCTGTTCCAGTCATATCTCCTGAATAAATATCAATCCCCGTGTGTGTTCCGGGGTCCCGTTGTGGGGAAGTCAAATATAGACTTCCTGACAAGCATGACTTAAGAGTCATAAAATTAGTGGATTCCTTCGAAGTCAGAGGGCTTCAGCCTGAGAGGCAAGGAACCATCAGTCTGCATAAAAAAAAGTCAGATCTGTAAAACAGGTGTGCATGCAAACCTTAAGATCAAGAACAAAACTTAACTCCAAAAGTAGAAGAACAACTAGGACTTTCAGCCAATCAATGTAAAAAAGAATAAATGGAAATATACCACTAGAAGCCAACAGTCTTCATGAGTATTGCACTAGTTTTGTTAGCTATTTAAGATTAAATTACTTATACTTTTCTGAATTGGAGTAGAATAAATAGTGATGGAACCTGTGCTTGTCAGTCATGGACAATGAGCCGACGAACTGAAATTACATTTTGTCACGACAAAGTGGATTAGAGTGCATAGAATATCATGCAATGACAGAAAACAAATGATGTAATCTCTTTTGGACAGATGAACACCGTAAACTGATCAGAGAAATTAGACAGATGAACACTGTAAACTGATCAGAGAAATTAGACAGATGAACACTGTAAACTGATCAGAGAAATTAGACAGATGAACACTGTAAACTGATCAGAGAAATTAGACAGATGAACACTGTAAACTGATCAGAGAAAATAGACAGATGAACACTGTAAACTGATCAGAGAAATTAGACAGATGAACACTGTAACTGATCAGAGAAATTAGACAGATGAACTTGTAAACTGATCAGAGAAATTAGACAGATGAACACTGTAAACTGATCAGAGAAATTAGTTGAACACTGTAAACTGATCAGAGAAATTAGACAGATGAACACTGTAAACTGATCAGAGAAATTAGACAACACCGTAAACTGATCAGAGAAATTAGACAAACACCGTAAACTGATCAGAGAAATTAGACAGATGAACACCGTAAACTGATCAGAGAAATTAGACAGATGAACACCGCAAACTGATCAGAGAAAATAGGCAGATGAACACTGTAAACTGATCAGAGAAATTAGACAACACCGTAAACTGATCAGAGAAATTAGATAAACACCGTAAACTGATCAGAGAAATTAGACAGATGAACACCGCAAACTGATCAGAGAAAATAGACATGAACACTGTAAACTGATCAGAAAAAATAAACAGATGAACACCGTAAACTGATCAGAGAAAATAAACAGATGAACACCGTAAACTGATCAGAGAAAATAGACAGATGAACACCGTAAACTGATCAGAGAAATTAGAGAGTTTGTAATTTTCAAACATATTATGAGAAGGAATGGACTAACAGCTTGGTTACGCTAGCAGGATTGATGGACATAGAGCTAAGGGGAAGGTTGACATAAACATTTCTGTATGACTTAGCCAAGAACACTGACATGATCTGGGATTGATTACAGATGATTATGCGAGATGGCAAAACATGATAGCCTACACTTGTTGGCACAGCACATAATGATGATACTTGTTCTGTTATAGATTAACTTATAGCTGTTGTATAGTATTTGTTGTCCATGGATTCACCTGTTAAGTTGCACAGTGGGGTATAAAGATACTTGAACACTTTTCATATTTTCTTCATTTACCGTTGTCACTGTACCTCTTTATGTCAGAGATTATGCCAGAGACCTAATTAGAGATGTCACATGTATTTCTAGGTCGATATGCATTGGTTGTTGCCGGCGATATTGCTGTGTATGCCAGTGGCAACGCCAGGTGTACAGGAGGTGCTGGAGCAGTGGCCATGTTGGTGGGACCAGAGGCTCCGTTAGTGGTGGACAGAGGTACGTGCTTGTTGTCTGCTTCTTGTTGTGTTTTTGTGTACGCTGCAGCCATGTTGGTTATACAAAAGGTTCCTTTAATAGTGGATATAGGTACAAGTTTGTTATCTGCTTCTTATGTTTGTTGTCTGTCTGCTTTTTGTTATGTTTGTTGTCTGCTTCTTGTTATGTTTGTGTGTATGCTGAAGCCATCTTTGTTGGACAAGAGGCTCCGTTAGTGGAGGACAGAGGTACATGTTTGTTGTCAGCTTCTTATGTTTGTGTGTACGCTGCAGCCATCTTGGTTGTACGAGAGGTTCCATTAATAGTGAATATATGTACATGTTTCGCTGTCTGCTTCTTGTTATGGTTGTGTATATGCTGTAGCCATCTTGGTTGTATGAGAGGTTTCGTTAATAGTGGATTTAGGTACATGCGTGTTGTCAGTTTCTTGTTATGTTTGTCTGTATGCTGCAGCCATCTTGGTTGTACGAGAGGTTTCGCTAACAGTAGACATATGTACATGTTTGTTGTCACCTTCTTATTATGTTTGTGTGTATGCTGCAAGAGGTTCCAGCACTAGTAGACAGAGGGACATATTTGTTGTCAACTTTTTATGTTTGTGTGTACGCTGTAGCCGTTCTTGATTGGACAAGATGTTCTATTAACAGGAGACAGGTGTACTTGTTTGTTGTGCTTTTTGTTATGTTTGTGTGTGTATGCCGTTACCTTGTTGGTTGGACATAATGAATAAATTCTTAGTTTTGTTAGTAGCATAATGTTTAGATTCTTGGGTAAGCTAGTAACAGTATATTTATTAAAATTCTTATTTTCGTTTTTATTTTTGTCTTTGCAATCTACTGTTCATGTTTTTGGTTAAATAAGAAGTTTAATGGTTTATTTTCTTCTTTTAGTAAGTAGCATACTATTTTTGTAAGTATCCTAATCTTTATATTCTTGGTTTAACTAGTAACATATTTTCTTTGTCTCCTGAATTAGGTGTACGAAGCAGTCACATGCAACATGCATATGACTTCTATAAACCAGACATGGCCTCCGAGTACCCAGTAGTTGACGGAAAGCTGAGCATCCAGTGTTACCTGCACGCTCTGGACATGTGCTATGAAAGATACACCACAAAGGCTATTGCTGCAGGATTGAGAAGTCAGTTCATCTCCTTGTTTCGACCATTTGTATGAGACAACGTTGTCAGTGTCAGATTTCTGTTTGAAAGAACCTCATATTGTCAGAATTGTTTACTGAAACGTTTGTTTTCTCTGTGTCATTTGTCTTGATTCTAGGGATCTCCAGGGCGAATTGGTTCGTCCATTTTTGCCTTAAGTGTGAAGGCTGTGGGTTTGGTTTTGGGCTGCTCCCTGTGGGTTTTGAGGACATTTCAGAGATGTGTGGATCTACAGAGTTCTCTGCTTTGTTTGACACTCACTGTGTAAACAGCTTTGTGGGGAAACCAACTTGTGTTCGATAAAACCCTGCAAAATGAAATCCTTTTGTGTTTAAACACCCCTTTTTCTGTAGATTTAAAGTCTTTTTTTTTTTTTACTAGGTGGGAGGTATACTTAACAACAAAATGTTGCTAATCATAGGGTGAAAAAATGGATTTAAAATGATTGGCAGAAGAAAAAAGAGAGTGGAAATTATCTGCAGGAGATAAGCCTTGGTCCCTGTATGGGATGTGTGGTCCATTTAGAGGGAAGAAGAGAATAGATCTACTGCCCCCATCTCCAGCAAACATATTACAAAAGGTGACAGGTTAGCGTTTCTTGAAATTGAATATGCTGGGTTAAAAGGCGTAGAAGATATCACAGCCTAGGTGTAAAAATTAAGAACAAATGCAGAAGAAGAAAAGTAATGTCTTTGCATGAATGGTTGAGGACCTGAGGAAAAAAAGATAGAATGGAGATGTAGGACTTGTGGAATAAAAGATAGAATGGAGATGTAGGACCTGTGGAATACAAGATAGAATGGAGATGTAGGACTTGAGGAATAAAAGACAGAATGGAGATGTAGGACCTGGGGAATGACAGATAGAATGGAGATACAGGACCTGAAGAATAAAGGACGGAAGAGATACAGGACCTGTGGAATAAAAGATGGAATGGAGATGCAGGACCTGGGGAATAAAAGATAGAATGGAGATGCAGGACCTGGGGAATAAAAGATAGAATGGAGATGCAGGACCTGGGGAATGAAAGATAGAATGGAGATGCAGGACCTGGGGAATAAAAGATAGAATGGAGATGCAGGACCTGGGGAATAAAAGATAGAATGGAGATGCAGGACCTGGGGAATAAAAGACACAAGGGAGATGCAGGACCTGAGGAATGAAAGACACAAGGGAGATGCAGGACCTGAGGAATGAAAGACAGAAGGGAGATGCAGGACTTAAAGAATGAAAGATGGAATGGAGATACAGGACCTGAAGAATAAATGACGGAAGAGATACAGGACCTGTGGAATAAAAGATGGAATGGAGATAAAGGACCTGGGGAATAAAAGATGGAATGGAGATACAGGACCTGTGGAATAAAAGATGGAATGGAGATGCAGGACCTGAGGAATGAAAGACAGAAGAGAGATGCATAAACTGAGGAATGAAAGACAGAAGGGGGATACAGGACCTGGGGAATGAAAGATAGAAGGGGGATACAGGACCTGGGGAATAAAAGATGGAATGGAGATGCAGGACCTGGGGAATGAAAGATGTAAGGCAGATGCAGGATTACATTTTTCCTTTATAATATCTGACCTGGCATTGAAAGTGTCTTTCTAATATGTGTATTTTGTTCACTGACCAGGTAATAGTACTCTGGATCTAGGAGATGCCTTCATTTTCCACTCTCCGTACTGTAAACTTGTGCAGAAGTCCTTTGCTCGCTTGCTGCTCAATGATTTTCTCAGGGACAAAAACCCTGACTTCACTGGCAGATACGCTTCATTGGAGGCTTTTAGGTCAGTATTGTCTGTACGCGTGAGGATGAATGACAGTGTAGTCTCTCCTACAGTACCAATTCTTTGAGGTTGTTTCATTGTTTCCTGACAAAAAGAATTAGATGCCTTATTTTTTTTTAACATGGCTATTTATTATTGAAACTGCTTTGTGATAGTTTTTATAATTATTCTGTTTATTATCACTGTCATTAAAGCTGCAGTAACAGAGAACACAGTTGTAATTAAACAATAATTATAAATAGTTCAAGATCATATGATCCCAAAACTCATCACATTGATCAGATGAATAATTGAAAACTTATTTATGTAAATCTCTCCGTTTCCCCTTTCCTAGTAATGTCACATCAACTAAGACAGAGTGATGTCCCCATAATGTTTGTAGCTCTTGGTATTTAGTCATTACATCTGGTATGAAAATGGAGGTAGAGGCCGTTGTGGCAGCTTTTCAGTAGTGTATAAAACTGAGACTATGGTATGAGTTAAGTTAGATAAACATCTTCCATTTAAAAGCTGATATAGATCTGCTAGTGTGTGTAATTTAGCTTATTTTATCACATAGACACCATTTGTGTGTTCACAATCTGTGCAGGATTTGCTATGTGCTGATAGTTAAAATGGCTGTTGATAGGTTGTGTTTCGAAGGCTTCATCCTCCATCAAACTTGATGTCCCAATATGTGCAGTATGTGACGCCTACTTGGTCAGGCAGTCTTTATTCATCAGTCTAGAAGAAAACAACAGACACCAGCAGTTGGGATATTGTCAAGATGGTAAAGAAAACCAAACAGTCCATGGACTAATGGAACAGTCAACTTTTTAAGTTTCCAACTGCTGAGTGACAAGAGAACAAATAAAAGTGGATGCAGTGTTAATCCAATATTACATTACTGAGGCATTGAATGGATCAGCATCCATTATGTATCCTTAAACTGTTAAGTGTTGAGTTAAGAACTTAATCACAGCACTTGGAATATTCCCATAAATAATCTACCATCATCTTCAGCAGCCAACAAAGAGTGCCAGTTCTGGCGATTCCAGCAGTGGTTTGACTAAATGTTTTGTCTTGCCTTTCCTCTGAGTGTATGCCGAACAGATCTGCTGGTGAGTGGCACCTGTACCATTCTGTCCAGACCTTAATGATGATGATTTTCCTATTGTTGGCAGGGATGTGAAGCTGGAAGAGACCTACTTCGACAGGTCTGTCGAGAATGCAGTGATGACCGCTAGTCAGTCGTTATTTGACGTCAAGACAAAACCAACCTTACTGGTGGCCAACCAGGTCGGCAACATGTATACTCCGTCCTTGTATGGGGGCTTGTGCAGCTTCGTCAGTGGGTGAGTTTGCATCAGGTTGCATCCATTGATAACAAGCTTATAGATTTATTTGTATGTTTGTAAGAGGTGTCAAGCATTAGGGTGAGTTTTTATTGAATACCTTGTTTCATAAGTGGAATTTGCATCTGGTTTGATCGGTGCACAAGTTTATAACAAGCTTCTAGGGTTATTAAGAATGTTTGAAACAGTTGTCTAGTTTTAGAAGGAATTTGTATTGTCTAGTTTCATCATTGGGTGCGTTTATATTTAGTTTCATCAGTAGATGGGTTTATATCTAGTTTTATCAGTGGATGTGTTTATATATGGTTTCATCAGTGGATGGGTTTATATTTAGTTTATCAGTGGATGAGTTTATGTCTAGTTTATCATTGGATGGATTTATATCTAGTTTCATCGGTGGATGTGTTTATATTTAGTTTCATCGGTGGATGTGTTTATATCTAGTTTTATCATTGGACAAATGTATGTCTAGTTTCATCAATGGACAAATTTATATTTAGTTTTTCAGTGGATGTGTTTGGGTCTAGTTTCATCAGTGGATGTGTTTATATCTAGTTTCATCGGTGGATGTGTTTATATCTAGTTTCATCGGTGGATGTGTTTATATCTAGTTTCATCGGTGGATGTGTTTATATCTAGTTTCATCGGTGGATGTGTTTATTGCTAGTTTTGTCAGTGAATAAATGTATGTTTAGTTTTATCATTGGATGAGTTTATATTTATATCTAGTTAATCAGTGGATGAATTTATATCTAGTTTATCAGCGGATGTGTTTATATCTAGTTTATCAGCGGATGTGTGTATATCTGGTTTATCATTGGGTGAGTTTATATCTAGTTTCATTAGTGGATACACTTTTTCTTTTTTACTGTGTAGCCAGTGTCTCCATCAGTGTTGTGTTTGTTCTGATTGTGATAAATGTCAGTTGTGGATGTTATTGTTAGTTCCTATTTAGTAATGCTTATTTCTCAGACGTAAAACAGATAATTAAGTTTGTAATTGATAGTTCATCTTTAATTATACTATGCTTCAAACACACAACGTCTTATTGTCTCTAGTTGTGTGTTGATCATGGTCTGTGCTATTTTTCAGGCACACAACAGATTCTATTTTAGGAAAGAGAGTGGTGCTGTTTTCCTATGGCTCTGGGCTGGCATCCTCCATGTTCTCACTCAAGTTCTCAGACAGTCTCACAGTACGAAGTTCCCTGGATCGTCTGGTCAGCAGCCTGTCAAATCTCAAAGAGAGACTGGACAGTCGACAGTGTGTGCCTCCAGAAGATTTTGATAAGATCATGAAGTTGCGTGAGCAAACACATCATTTAGGTGAGTTGAGGTGTACTGTTTGTTACAGCATTCATTTTCACTGCTGTTTTTGAGTCTTTTTATTCAAAACCCACTGACTACCAAGTCCTTTAACCCTTACACGTTTCCAGATACCACACATTTTAGTGTGTACTTAAAAATGCCATAGCTTCAGAGCTGTTTAACATATACTTATTATATTTTGTTTTTTTTCTACAAATTGGAGAACACGTTTCAAGAAAAACAATGTTAATTTTGTTTGAAATCATCATTGTGTGGCTCTGGATCGGTGCAAAAAAGGCAACTGACAGATCTGACAACAGTGAAGAGTAACAAAAATGCTATAACTTCACAATCATTCAACATACACTTATCGTATTTTGTATTTTTGCACCAAATTAAACGGAGAACAAATTGCAAGGAAACAATTTTCCCCACTGTTGTCCGATACTGATAATGATTCTGTATTGAAGCCAGCAATATCTTCATCATGTGCAGGCTGGGACACAATATCTTACAAAATCTACAGACTCAAGATGAATACTGTCACTGGAACTATCAGTAAATGAAACTGCTAGCGACGGTCTAACTGCCGGTCGTCTTAGTTGGACTTGACTTTGCAGTGACATGCCAATGTTTTCCTGTTGATGTTTATAAAAGCACTTCATTAGATTTATCTATTCAGTAATATCTTTGATCTGACTATTCAATATCTTTGATCTGACTATTCAGTAATATCTTTGATCTGACTATTCAATAATATCTTCACCTTCACTTTTTGAAGACAAATCAGAGCAAGAAAATCAAACGCAGCAACAGGAATATAATGACTACCACGATTCCTTTGAGAATTTGACGTCATGATGAAAATTTCTTTAGTGTCATAACATGGGAGCTAACAGTGAAAATGCATCACAAAATTTGCTGTTAGCACTAAGGAGTTGTTTCCCTGAAATTAATATAGACAAATGAATCGGCTAAAGGCTTTAACCCTTTCGCTGCTATGGACGAGATAACTCGTCTGCCCGGCAGACTGCTAAAGACGAGATAACTCGGCTGCAATTTTCTGTGCCCTCACTGCTAAGGATGAGATATCTCGCCCTCGTCATTTTTTTACAGATTGCTAAGAACCGTGATTCTTAGGGGTGAAATAGCAATAAACATTACCTTAATGTGATAAAACTGACCCGTTTACATGCAATTAAAACCCTTATCAAGTGAGTTTAGGCGTATTTTGATGCATTTCACGTTACCCTGTTTCTTTGTTACCATAGAAGCATGGTCGGTGAACGGTAATTTTTTTGCCCTGAAATATATTTCTGGTTTTGCGTTAGTCTAAATTAAAAAAAAAAAAAAATAACAAGAACATTTGTTTAAATGAAGAAGAATTAATGGAGTTTCTTTCAAGGAGCAGTAGTAAAGATGACTTTGAAACGTGTGAGTTATTTAAGCTGGGTTATCTTCGCGGCACGCCGGCGGACACGTGTACTTCTGGCTGTGAACAAGACTGACCAGTGACCATATGACCTAGCTATCTACATCGATTTGATTTGAAACGGATCCGAAATAATAAAAAAAAAAAAAGAAGATATGGTCACATACTGACATGATGATTAACATAAGTTAATGTCAATAATATACTATAAACTGACATAATTGTGTTTGTCTATTATACTGGTCTTTTTTTCAGTGAAATCAATGTGAATTCCTAGTGTAGTTGGTATCACGTCTGCCTTACAATCGAAAGGTCCAGGGTTCATCCCCTACGAGGCGTTTTTTTTTTTTTAATTATTTTAAATGAAATTTTTAATTTATGCTCTTAGCATTTTCGGCAACAGATCACCGAAGTAATAATTAATTAAACATCCTGTCATGTGCGTTCAGGTGGATTTAGATGCTTTACACGTTATCCTGTTCCTTTGTGAAGCGTGGTTGGTGTACTGTGCCTTTGTTACATTTCAATATTGTGTCTTTGGATAAGTCTATATTTCCTTCATACAAAATGGCAAGACAATTTGTTAAAGTTGACGAAGAATTGATGGAGTTTCTTTCGAGGAGTGATAGTGAAGATGACTTTGAAATGTGTAGTTCTGATAGTGAGCAGGACGATCTTACTGTGCCATCGACATCGAGGGGACAAACCAGCGTGGCCGAGAAAAGGTTGTTTGCGTGTCCGACGTCCTCATCATCATCGGAATCAGAAGGTAGTGATGATGAAGTGCCATCAAAACGACATAAAATTGATCAGCTATCCTGGTCTTCCAACGACTTGCGACCCGATGTGCATACGTTTGATGACTCCAGCTCTGGCTGTCTTTTAGCTGCTGTGAATAAAAACAGCTCAGTGCTTGATTTTTTTTTAACTTTTTTTCACTGAATCGCTGGTGACTTTCATCGCAGATGAATGTAACAGATTCAGCAAGTATGTTATTGAAAAGGGACCTGCTACCGTAAGCTCTCGTCTTTGCAGATGGACAGATACGGATTTGGACGAATTATTTTGTTTTTTTGCCGTGTGTCTACTCATGCCCAGAACAAAGAAACTCAAAATAAATGAGTACTGGACCAAAGACTGTTTGCTGAGAACGCCAATGTTTGGTGAAATTATGTCGAGGGACAGATTTTTATTATTGTTAAGAATGTTGCATTTCTCGGACAATAATGCTGATGCAGGTGGCGACAAACTGTTCAAAATTAGACATGTGATCGACAGTTTGCGTGCATCGTTTCGTGGGGCGTTTTCGCCTTATCGAGATGTGGTTGTTGACGAGTCGCTACTTCTTTTCAAAGGAAGGTTGTCATTCAAACAGTACATTCCGTCAAAGAGAAGTAGATTTGGTGTAAAAACTTTTGTAATGTGTGACTGCAGAACTGGGTATATTTTAGATTTCATTGTGTACACTGGTGTCAACAGCGACATTACTGTGTCAGGTTTAGGGAAAGGGTCTGATATTGTTTCCACTTTGCTGGCCCCCTATCTACAGAAAGGTCACAGACTTTATGTAGATAACTGGTACACAAGCCCAGATTTGTTTATGTGTCTTCATGGTCAGGCTACAAATGCATGTGGTACTGTACGTAAAACAAGAAAACACATGCCCAAAATGGAGCAAAAATTAAAGAAAGGAGAAGTTAGTTCCAAGTCTGCTGCATGTTTATTAGCTATCAAATGGTGTGACAAATGAGAGGTGTGGATGCTGACAACATGCCACGATTCAGGAATGGTAGCAACAGAAAAAATAGACAGGAAAACTGGGTTAAATATTGTAAAGCCACAATGTGTTGTGGATTACAACAAATGCATGGGTTCAGTAGATCGTACTGACATGCTTCTTAGTTCTATAGAAACTATTAGAAAAACTGTCAAATGGTATAAAAAGCTTTTTTTCCCCGTTTTAGATCTCTCTATTTTAAATGCACATTCATTATATAAAGCTGTTGTGGGGAAAAACACACCTGTTGCCGAATTTCACTTAATGTTAGTAAGAGAAATTCTACAGAAATATTGCAAGGAAAAGAGAAAAAGTGTAGGAGGACAAAAAAGTGAAGATCTGCCACTTCGTTTAGTACAAAGGCATTTCCCTTCATCAATAGTCCGTAACATCGCAGAAAAAATTCCCAACCAGAAAGTGTGTGGTATGCGTGAAAAGCAAAAAACGACGGAAAACCAGATACATGTGCAAGGAATGTGATTTGGCATTGTGTGTCGCACCTTGTTTTGAAATATTTCACACACAAAGATATTATTAATAATAATAAAAACCATGTATTTGCTTACTAAAGTGTTTTGTGTTTGCTTTGTAAGTTTGTAGTGTTTTCTTTTTGTTAATGAGTTTTCACGGCGTAGAAATAGCGCGTCTGACTTGTCAGCGCAAAGTTCAACCACAGGCCTTCAGCGATTTTTTATTTTAGGTGTACAATTTTTACCCCACGCCGCAATCGCGTCTTCTGCTTTTGAAGGAAAAAACGGTATTCAGCACAGGGGGAAAGATTAGCTCTCGCATGGCTTAGCACAGTGGTTACGTTGGCTGGCGGAGTGCGCAGCAGCGAAAGGGTTAACTAAGTTCATTGCAAAAATTGTGATTTTTAACCAGGTGGCGAGCATCCAAAGTTACGAAGTGTATTTTGTTTAGTGGTCTTGTGTTTGTATTTTGTGAGGTTTTGTGTGTATTGTTTGATGCCTCTTATGTTATTGTTTGTTATTAGTCCTTTTATTATTTCATTTTTCAAGATGAGTGCTAGGGAATCTAGTCTTATTCATTCTTCCCTGCTAATGAGATAGGTAACACCTGTATCGACCGCAATAAAACAAAGGAGTGTTGACATATTGGGCACACTCTGAGATGAAATTAGCAAAGAATGATAAAACAAGCACTGAAATGGGAAACAAACCGTCTAAAAAAAAAAAAAAGTGGTCGTCCAAGGGAAACATTAAGAAGAATATTATTACCAGAGGCTAAAAAAAAATGCTGGGCTGAACTCCGTATCAGAAATCGAGAGAGCTGCATGCAGTGGAGTGGAGGAATTAAATGTGAGCCCCATGTGATGTCCAGTGGCACACAAAGGTTGATGATGATGTGGATGAGGTACATGCTGAAACAGTTAGGACTAGGGGATGAAGACAAAATAAGTATAATAAAAGCAACTAGAGATAAGGATTGTACCATGTATTATGAACAGATGGAATCATTGGAGGAACCTTTGTACCATATGTGAACAGACATAGTCATTGAGGAGCCGTCTTTGTTTTTGTATTTTGTGAGACTTCGCCGTGTGTGTCAGAAACAAGATATTTGCAATGCTTTGTTGAGCCTTTTCTGCAGAATGGCTGTAAATGAGCAAATCACCTGTTTGGGAGACAAATGTTGCATTACTGTAGGCAGCCAGAATACGAACTGTGATTGACTTGAAACAATTACAGGAGAATAGAACATAATGTACAACTAAAAGAAAACAACAATTTGAGACTTGATCTCAGGAACAGTTGACTGTAGCAGAGGCAGGAACAGTTGACTGTAGCAGAGGCAGGAACAGTTGACTGTAGCAGAGGCAGGAACAGTTGACTATAGCAGAGGCAGAAACAGTTGACTATAGCAGAGGCAGAAACAGTTGACTGTAGCAGAGGCAGAAACAGTTGACTATAGCAGAGGCAGAAACAGTTGACTATAGCAGAGGCAGAAACAGTTGACTATAGCAGAGGCAGAAACAGTTGACTATAGCAGAGGCAGAAACAGTTGACTGTAGCAGAGGCAGAAACAGTTGACTGTAGCAGAGGCAGAAACAGTTGACTGTAGCAGAGGCAGGAACAGTTGACTATAGCAGAGGCAGAAACAGTTGACTATAGCAGAGGCAGAAACAGTTGACTGTAGCAGAGGCAGAAAGTTGACTGTAGCAGAGGCAGGAACAGTTGACTATAGCAGAAAACCAAAGCCTGAGATCAGTAGGGAGATGTGAATGCCTACACTGTCTGGCAAGGAACAGGATTTTGCTTAAAATGTATATGATGAGCTGTGTCTGAATACAAGCATGGCATGTGTACAATGGCCTGTCTTTTTGTTGATCTCTAGCTGTTTGTTGATGTCTAGCACCATACAGACCTATGGAGAAACATAAACACCCACGCTATCTGGCAAGTCACATGGTTATGATTAACAAGTATGTAATGAGCTGTGTCTGAAAATGAACGTGTGTGCAATGATGTCTGTGCTTGTTTGTTTATCTCTAGCTCCCTACAAACCTGTGGGCTCCGTGTCTGTGTTGTTTCCTGGCACCTTCTACCTGACCGATGTGGACAGCATGCACCGCAGGAAGTACACTTGTTCTTACTTTCCTTCTGGCGGTGAAGGGGCGGATGTAATCATGTCCGAGGTGAGTTCCGTTTTATTTCCTGATACAGTCACCCTGTTTTCCTGGTTCATTCTTCTAATCATCCTGTTTTTTCTTGTAGTTCTAAAAATTTTAGTTTGTAACTCCTAATATTTTATGTTGAAATTCTCTACTTCTCAAGTTGTAAATTTAAAAGGTAAAGTCGGGAGATGTGAACCAGCGTCATTACACACGGTTATAAACCATAGGTGCTTTTCCGCCTGTTGTGGTTATCCTCACGCCATTCCGTAGCTACAGCGACGTACCTCCATTTACCCCAGAGTTTTAACTCTGGTACCAATTACCTAGAGGCTGGGTGAGCCCTGGGAGTTGCCAGGTTTTGAACACTGGCCGTGGGCTGCAGCGAGTTGCAGCTGGATTTGAAAGCGAATCTCTTATCGACTGCACTAATGCGGCCCTGTCTGTCTCTCTTTCTCTCAAGTTGTAATTTGCCACCACTTGTGTTGTAATTTTCAGTAACGTCTTCATAATTCTCAATATTTTTTGTTGTAATTCTCATTGTCTTGTAATTCTTTACATCTTCTTCTTCTTCTTCAGCATTCCAAGCCCTTGAGGTCATTTATAACCCACCTCCATTCATCTCTGTGACTGGCCCTCTTTTTTCAGTTGGTGGCTCCAAAAGTGTGTAAGTCTGTCCATTTGTATGATCTCTGCCTCCTCATCTCTACTTCCATTCAGTTCCTCGTATATGCAGTTGTTACCTCTTGTTTTTTGCTGTGCTCTCTATTTGCTTCACACTTTTTGAGTTTGTTATAAGAATTTGTCTCTTTAAATTGTGCTCAGCATTTCAAACCAAAGAGGACAGTGTTTTATAGTATTCCAAGTCATTTTTCTTCTCTTAGTATTACGAAGCAGATGAAGTTTGTACCCAAATACCTGTATTGTGTTTTGATTTTCATGTGAGAGTAAAACCTCATTAACTAGAATTCATGTTCATGTTACAAATACTAATAATAAATGGCTGCTGGGCGAGTATGTGTTAATGAGGTTTTTACTGTATCTGTTTGGGAGCCAGCCTGGCGTAGTGGCCTGACACTAACTGTGGATCCAAAGGTCACGGGGTCAGGTCCTGACGCAACCGGACTTTTTTCACAACTGACCTTGGCTCCCAGGTTGACCCAGCCTCACATGGGTCCCAGGTTGACCCAGCCTCACATGGGTCCCAGGTTGACCCAGCCTCACATGGGTCCCAGGTTGACCCAGCCTCACATGGCTCCCAGGTTGATCCAGCCTCAAATGGGTCCCAGGTTGACCCAGCCTCAAATGGGTACTAGGTAAAGTCCTGGGAAGTAAAGGTGGCATGTGTGGTACTGAGCACATCACCCATCGAGTGCCGATTGGTCTATAAAATACGGGTCTAGCCTTATATGTGCATTACGCCTGCAGTTGTGAACCTTTTTTAATGTGACTAGAGTTTGAATCCTTGCTTTTTCTTGTTACTTCCATTTATTGTCTATTGTAATTCTCTTCAAATGTTGTAATTCTCAGTGTTCTTCTTTTTTTTTCTTCTCCAGACGAAACATGCAAGTATAGCCAGCGAAGTGTCTCAAGTGATAGCCAGTGACAAGTAGCCTGGACCAGCTCAAGTTGCCATCATTGCATTTAATCATTTTTATCCACATAAGCATTTCGTTGCCCTGCTATGTCTGTATTTCGTCTCATGCGTGTTTAAAACACAATACATTGTGTTGTCAAATTTTATGGTCAGCTTAGAAAACATTAGCTCTGTCTCAGATTGTACCTGATGGTACAGGCAGTTTATTGGGTAGTGTTTTTGGAGATGGTAGGTTGTTTACTTTATGTCTAGAGGTTGTAGATTTTTAACTGTATTTCTAGAGGTGGTAAATTGTTTACTGTGTTTTTAGAGATGGTAAGTTGTTAACTGGGTTTTTGGAGATGGTAAATTAGTTTCTGGCATCCTTGTTAGTTCTGTCCAAAGAAAGGAATTGTAATAGTAACAGCAATAGTTGTGGTTAGGGTTTGAATTCCATTAGATTGATCCGCCCTCTTCCCCAAGGTTGACTTGGTCTCAAAATGGCAGCAGAAATTTTTCTGGGAAGGAAATGGCAGCTAGCATATATATTAATCATAGTGGTTCTGTTGAGTCCAGTTTATCTATACAAATGTGGGACTAGCACCATGTGCCCAGTACCTAAAGTGGGTACCAGGTAAAGTCATGGGAAGTAAAGGCGGCGGGCTGGATGTTGACCACATCATTTACCAAGTGCTGATTGATCTACAAAATTGAGTCTGGCATCATATGCCGAAACTGCACACAGGAAAAGAGAAATTTCTTTGAGCTTACTGTAGGCCTCCGAGTCAGGAATGTTTGTGTGTGGGCACAGGTTTTACATATTTTATGTCATTTAAGAAGCTCATAGCTGTTTGTGTAATATAATTGTGCAATTTGTTGTCTTATTTCTGTAACAACTTTGTTAATTAAGCATATGTTTTATATAAAAATGTGGAGTGTAGAGTTGGTGTTACATACACAGTCCGGATGTAGAGTGTAGAGTTGGTGTTACATACACAGTCCGGATGTAGAGTGTAGAGTTGGTGTTACATACACAGTCCAGATATGGAGTGTAGAGTTAGTGTTACACACACAGTCCGGATGTGGAGTGTAGAGTTGGTGTTACATACACAGTCCGGATGTAGAGTTAGTGTTACACACACAGTCCGGATGTAGAGTTAGTGTTACACACACAGTCCGGATGTGGAGTGTAGAGTTGGTGTTACATACACAGTCCGGATGTAGAGTTAGTGTTACACACACAGTCCGGATGTAGAGTTAGTGTTACACACACAGTCCGGATGTGGAGTGTAGAGTTGGTGTTACATACACAGTCCGGATGTGGAGTGTAGAGTTGGTGTTACATACACAGTCCGGATGTAGAGTTAGTGTTACACACACAGTCCGGATGTAGAGTTAGTGTTACACACACAGTCCGGATGTAGAGTGTAGAGTTAGTGTTACACACACAGTCCAGATGTGGAGTGTAGAGTTGGTGTTACATACACAGTCCGGATGTGGAGTGTAGAGTTGGTGTTACATACACAGTCCGGATGTGGAGTGTAGAGTTGGTGTTACATACACAGTCCGGATGTGGAGTGTAGAGTTGGTGAGCTTACACAGTCCGGCCTAGAGTGTAGAGTTAGTGTTACATCTCAGTCCAGATGTGGGCACAGAGTTAGTGTTACACACACAGTCCAGATGTGGATGTAGCTGTTTGTGTTAATATGTCCGGATGTGGAGTGTTCTGGTCTTATTTCCGGATGTAAGTGTAGAGTTGGTGTTACATACACAGTCCGGATGTGGAGTGTAGTGTTGATGTTACACACACAGTCCGGATGCTTTCACTGCATTGTGGCTGTTTGTTAGAGTGGACCAATTACGTAGGTTTCACTTTTACACTGTTTGAAAGGGGAATCTGTTCTTGTTCTGTGTGGGTGTTTGAATCAGCGAATATATTGTTCTGTGTGGATGTTTCTTCTACTTGTTAGCATTCACTGACTGTAAAGTCCTGGTTGTTCATCCACTTCTGGACTTTGGTCTTTTTGCAGAAATTAAGTTTTGCTTGCACATCTGTTTTACAGATCTAATTTGCAGACTGTTGGTTTCTCCCCTGGCAGGCAGGTGCACTCTGACTTCAGTGAAACGAAAGACCCTAAGTTAGTCAACTTTAACGACATGCTTGTTGGCGGTGCAGGGGATGCATTTGTTGTTTCCAGAATGGGTTCCTGGCATCTGCACAGTAAGTGTGTGGGGTTTGAATCAGGAAATGTGTATTTAAAAAAAAAAAAAAATATTCTGTGCACAGCTCTAAATGTTCTAAATAAATGTGTAAACTGTCCTCTTTATTGTATCTGAGAAATAAACATTTGTGGTTTCATGTGTGAATAACATGTCAGTAGCTGGGGTTTTTTTTTTTTTTTTTTCATTTAATGTTCAGTTCAGTATTATTGTTTTTTTTTTTTTTTAATTAATTTGTAAATCCTTGTCTGTTTTGAAATGGAAGGTCCACACACATGGTTGTCATTGGTGGAAGTTCTACACTTGTGATTGTTACACTAAATTTGTATACTCTCAGGAAAAGTTACATAATCATAATACTTCCTTGCTATACCTGCAAACAAGGTGTCTAAGACACTTACAAGCAACAACCACATTCATGTTGATTAATTTAATGGACACACGTCCCTTAGGGCAGCCTCTATGGTTAATGACACTTCGATAGAGTGTTGAGGTTGCTGCCTGCTATGATATAAAGATGTTTGCACACAAGACATGAATAATACATGCATTGAGGTCAGGAAGGGAAGAAGCTAAAGGAAACAGTGGTTGCGAACAGGATGAGGGTAAGCACAATTAATAAATGCTATGGCAACAGTGGTCCTGAAATCCCAGGTGCTGATTGTTGAAGTCATGTCTTAATGCTGGTTACACTTGCCATCGCAGTTTCCTTATTCTCATCTCTGTTTAGCACAGTATTGCACTTTTGTCTGAAAGCTATGAATACAGTTCACGCTTCACACACATCAGGGCTAAGTAAGAATTTTTTTTGTTTGTTCCTCAGTTATTTGCCTCTTTGTTAACTATCTTAGCTTTTTTTTTGTGTGTGTGAGTCACTTTGATTGATGCATTTTGAGTTTGTTATTGAAATCAGAATATTGTCTCTGTAAAAAATTTATTTGTTGCAGTTTAAATAACTGACCTAATAAAATCTTGCAGTCTGGTGAGCTAACGTGATAATTACAATATTTGAAATCTGGTAGTTGACCGAGCCAGGTGATTGTAACCATGAATTCTGATGGTTGAACTAACATGATAATTATATTCATGAAATCTAATGGTTGAACTAATAGAAACATTTTAATCATGAAATCTGATGCTTGAACTAACAGCATAATTCTAATCATGAAATCTGATGGTTAAACTAACAGGATAATTATAATCATGAAATTTGATGGTTGAACTAACAGGATAATTCTAATTATGAAATTTGATGGTTGAACTAACAGGATATTTATAATCATGAAATTTGATGGTTGAACTAACAGGATAATTCTAATTATGAAATTTGATGGTTGAACTAACAGCATAATAGTGAGTATAATTCATATAATCTAGCAGTCTGTTGGTTGAACTAAGAGGACACCTAGTGAGCTGACAGTTATGAAAATGAAATCTAGCAGTCTGATGGTGGAGCTAACAGGATACTTATATGATGAAATGTAGTAGGCTGATGGTGGAGCTAACAGGATACTTATATCATGAAATGTAGCAGGCTGATGGTGGAGCTAACAGGATACTTATATGATGAAATGTAGCAGGCTGATGGTGGAGCTAACAGGATACTTATATGATGAAATGTAGCAGGCTGATGGTGGAGCTAACAGGATACTTATATGATGAAATGTAGCAGGCTGATGGTGGAGCTAACAGGATACTTATATCATGAAATGTAGCAGGCTGATGGTGGAGCTAACAGGATACTTATATCATGAAATGTAGCAGGCTGATGGTGGAGCTAACAGGATACTTATATGATGAAATGTAGCAGGCTGATGGTGGAGCTAACAGGATACTTATATCATGAAATGTAGCAGGCTGATGGTGGAGCTAACAGGATACTTATATCATGAAATGTAGCAGGCTGATGGTGGAGCTAACAGGATACTTATATCATGAAATGTAGCAGGCTAATGGAGCTAACAGGATACTATATGATGATGTAGCAGGCTGATGGTGGAGCTAACAGGATACTTATATCATGAATTGGTGATGGTGGAGCTAACAGGATACTTATATCATGAAATGTAGCAGGCTGATGGTGGAGCTAACAGGATACTTATATCATGAATGTAGCAAGCTGATGGGGAAACAGGATAAGATATGGAAATGTAGCAGGCTGATGGTGGAAACAGGAGCTTATATGATGAAATGTAGCAGGCTGAGGTCGAGCTAACAGGATACTTATATCATGAAATGTAGCAGGCTTTGGTGGAGCTAACAGGAGTGCTTATATCATGAAATGTAGCAGGCTGATGGTGGAGCTAACAGGATAATTATATCATGAAATGTAGCAGTCTGATGGTGGAGCTAACAGGATACTTATATCATGAAATGTAGCAGGCTTGCAGTCAGCAAACAAGTGCCCACTTAATATTCTGAAGATGCTGTCATCATGAAAGGGCAAGGGTTGGCAAGACTTTTCTGGTGGTTCATGGCAAAATTTACCTCTTGCCAAGGACCTACTACCACATGATGATGATAAACATCTATTTTGGTTTGGGACATTCCTGTGTGGTTTCTGGAGCCCTATTCTGGGGAAAACAAGAATGGACTCACTCTCCCTAACAAGCTTGTCATAAGAGTCGACTAATTGGAGACGGCTTTTGAAGTCAGAGTGCATCTGCCTGAGCGGCACGGAACAACCAGCTGCAAACAGATAAGCCAGTAAACTGGATGTACATGAAAACTGAGGCTCAAAGGCAAAGTCCAGATGGACAAATGACCAGAGTTTACAGCCAGTGAACAAATAGGTAGAATATTTGAGAAAGTAGGAAA